ACTATCTCCCACACCTTTTCTCAACTCAGTAATAAGAAAGTCACTGGGACCTGTCTCCCACACCTTCTATCAACTCATATAAAGCAGTCACTGGGGACTGATCTCCCACACCTTCTCTCCAACTCAGTAATAAGAGAGTCACTGGGTGACTGATCTCCCACACCTTCTCTCAATCCAACTCAGTAATAAGAAGTCACTGGGGACTGACCTCCCATACACCTTCTCTCAACTCAAGTAATAAAGATCACTGGACTGATCTCCCACACCTTCTCTCAACTCAGTAAAAAGAGAGCACGGGGACTGGATCTCCACACCTTCTCTCAACTCCAGTAATATGAGATCACTGGGGACTGATCACCTACACCCACAACCTTCCTCAACTCAGTAAAAAATCCCACTGGGACTGATCTCCCACACCTTCGCTCAACCTCAGTAATAAAGAGTCACTGGAAGATATCTCCACACCTTCTCTCAACTCAGAATAAGAGACACTGGGACTGATCTCCCACACCTTCTCTCAACTCAGTAATAAGAGAGTCACAGCTGGACATGATCCCCACACCTTCTCTCAACACAGTTATATGAGAGTCACATGGGGGGACTGATCACCCACACCTTCCTCTCAACTCAGTAAATAAGAGAGTCACTGGGGACAGATCTCCCACCCTTCTCTCGTCTCTCAACTCAGTAAAAAATCACTGGGGACGGATCCTCCCACACCTTCTCTCACCATCATAAGAGTCACTGGTGACTGATCTCCCCCACCTTCTCTCAACTCATAATTAAGATCACTGGGGACTGATCTTCCCACAACCTTCTCTCTCACTCAGTAATAAGAGTCACTGACTGATCTCCCACACCTTCTCTTCAACTCAGTAATAATTAGTCACTAACTGATCTCACCACAACCTTCTCTCAACATCCAGTAATAAAGTCACTGGGACTGATCTCCCCACACCTTCTCTCACTCAGTAATAAAAGTCACTGGGACTGATCTCTCCCACAAACCTCTCCAACTCAGAAATAAGAATCCACTGGACTGAGCTCCACACCTTCTCTCAACTTCCGTAATAAAATCACTGGGACTATCTCCCACACCTTCTCCAACTCAGTTAATAAGAGTCACTGGGACGGGTTATCGCCCACCACCTTCTCTCAACTCATAAATAAGAAGTCACTGGGACTGATCTCCCACAACCCTTCTCTCAACTCAGTAATAAGAATCACCTGGGACGGATCACCCACACCTTCTCCAACCAGTAATAAGAGAGTAACTGGACGGATTCTCCCACATCTTCTCTCAACTCAGTAAAGAAAGTCACTGGGGACTGATCTCCCACACCTTCTCTCACTCATAAATTATGATACACTGGACTGCTCCCCACACCTTCTCTCAACTCATAATAAGAGAGTCAACTGGGAAGGATCTCCCAACCTCTCTCAACTCAGTAATAAGAGATCACTGGGGACTGATCTCCCACACCTCTCTCAACCTCAGTAAATAAGAGAGTCACGGACTGATCTCCCACACCTTTCTCTCAACTAGTACTAAGAGTCCACTGGGACTGATCTCCACACCTTCTCCAACTCAAGTAATAAGATCACCTGGGACTGATCTCCCCCACCTCTCTCTACTCAGTAATAAGATGTCACTGGGGACTGATCTCTCACACCTTCCTCAACACAGAAAAAAGAGAGAGTCACTGGACTGATCTCCCACACCTTCTCTAACTCAGTACTAAGAGATGCACTGGACTGATCTCCCAAAACCTTCTCTCAACTCATAATAAGAGAGTCACTGGACTATCCCCCACACCCTTCTCTCACTCAGTAAAAAGAGATCCCTGGACTGATCTCCCCCACCTTCCTCAGCTCAGTAATAATATCAACTGGGACAGATCTCCTACACCTCTCTCAACTCAGAAATAAGAGAGACACTGGACTGATCTCCCACACCATCTCTCAACTCATAATAAAAGTCACTGGGGACTGATCTCCCACACCTTCTCTTCAACACAGTAATAAGAGATCACTGGGGGGAAACTGAATCTCCACACCTATCTCCTCAACAACACCTAATAAGAGAGTCACGACTGACACCCACACCTTCTCTCAACACAGTAATAAGAGTCACTGGGACGACCTCCCACAGCCTCTCTCAACTCAGTAAGAAGGAGTCACTTGGACTGATCACCCAAAACCTTCTCTCAACTCATAATAAGAGTCCTGACTGATCACCCACACCTTCTCTCAACCATAATAGAGAGCCACTGGGAACTGATCTCCCACACCTTCACTCACCGAAGTAATAAGGAGAGTC